GTTTATCCCATGTAAGTTGCTCTAGTCACTATTAAATGATATATAAGGTAAAATCATACCAAACTTTTTAAGATATGCTAGCACATGGAAATACACCTGGGTTTAATGCAGACTTTCTGGTTCCTTTAAAAGTTACAAAACTGTAATTGAAATAAAAACTTTTTGAAGCATTGTTCTGAGTTCAAGTGTTGCACTATTATATCAGGATGTAAAGAAAAAAAACAAAAACAAAGCAAGTTGATCCTATTATTTCAATTCTAATAATGGCCAAAACTGAGTGCTTGATGAACGATTTAAGTAGTTACTGCTAGCTATTTATACTCTGTACTTAAATTTTTTTTTTTACCTTGGTATGGATAGGCATATAAAATTAGTTAGAAATTGCTATTTTAAATTTCTAGCAGTACTGTGCACTGCTGAAATCGGTACGGTGATGGCATTTCTGAAGATCAGGTCTGGGGAAGCAGGTTGATTTTTTTTGATTTTTTTTTTTTTTTTAAATAGTGGAAAGAAAAAGGCATTCTGAAAAGGGCATTCTTTTTCCAGACATAATGGTTGTGAGAGATTATGGGTCTCGGGCTATCTTCCAAGTATGATTCTGCTGGGTGTCACTTCAGTAGGGAAACCTGTTTAAATAGCATTTTATGGAACTTTGTCCTGGGGTTTTTAGGAATGCTTGCAAATCATTATCATAGATATGGTGTATATTGATTCAATTTACCTTCCAGTAAGTTGCACTGCTGCAGTTCATGCTCTTCTAGCATAAGTATGTCTCATTTAGGAGCATCCCTTGGTATAAGTACACTGGCAGCTGCAAGATCTCCATGTTAGCAGATATTCTGCAAGAACAGTTTTGTGCCTGTTGATTTTGACCAGCTGATGTTCATCACTGCAGGGGTAGCAGGGGAATAAGGCTGGGTCAAGGATCCTTGGGGCAGGACACCAGTCTGAAAGGTGCTGTAATATTTTAAGCCAAACTTAATTATCTTCCTTTGGACTGTAGACTTTGCTGCTCTATTGTCTGTAGGCTGTGATGTGATACCTCAGGCTTCCCAAGCTGCATGTTTTTCAGCTCCCTCCCCAGAGAGCCTGTTCTGCACACAGTTCCACCTAAAGTCTGGTGAAGTGCTGTTATATACCCCTCTGGTAACAGCATGGTGTTCGGAGTATTATAGAATGTATAAAAACTTAAATCTAAAATTATTACAAAAAAGCAATATGATTTCCTATTGAACAGAAGTAAAATAGCAGTAGTAATTTGATGTAAGCTTTAAGTACCAATTAATTGTGTCATCTGGCTAATGATAATGTACTGAATGCATTGCAGTAATGAAATGTGGAAGTTCAGGAGATGGTTAATGCAAAGAAGTCCAAACCCAGCAGAAGCTGTTCCCTATTTACTCAATTGTAGGCAAAACCCTCTGTTCATACAGTTGTGTAGGAGCTGTTAGAAGTCTGGAAACATACTCAGATTGCCGTAAGAATAACTATAATAGTCTCAAGACTTTATTTCAGAGCCGGTGATGTTTCTGTTGTCTGAAAGCATCCTCTTATAAAGCATTACCCAGCTGTCATGCTAGCCAAGCTAGATGGAAATGACATGGTTACTGAAGAGCACACTCTTAACGCAGTTCAGTAGCGTTGATTTGTAACACTACCTGGAGTAGCAGCAGTACTAAGAGTGGTGCTTTGGAATGGAAATGTAATTTCAATTTTAAATATATTTTATTATACCATGTAGAGAGTTTTGCTTTTGATAGTATCACTGTGCTATTGCAGCATTACTAACTGATCTCAAGAGAGCAGCTGAAGGAGGAAAGAAAGGGAAATCCTGATACTGCAGACCCTTCTTGGTATGTCCCAGTACTGGCAGTGGAAGAGTATGGGGGGAAGGGTGGGGCACGTGCTTACTCAAGGGTTTCCTGACCTTACTGCTCCTTGGAATGGTCTGCCAAGTAGAAATCAGCTTTGGGTTGACTACTCTTGAGAAATTTTGTGAATTCATTTGTTAAAAGTGACTAAGTTTGCATGAGTTTTGTTGGAAAGGCCTCTCCAGTTGCTGTTGTTAGTGCATTAGTGACATACAATGTGATTTTTGAGTTCAACTGTAAATTTTGCTAGGTTTTTAACTTTCTTCCACTAGATGGCCCAAGCATGCTTTCAAGTGCCCTATGAGAACTGAAACTTTTACTTAATTTCTAAAATAAATCTGTGTGGTTTTAACCGAAGTTAAAATTCTACATCGTGAAACGTACATGAACTTCCATGATGCTTCATGGTTGTTTAAAATACAAGCACTTTATATCAACCAAGAGAGTGTTGGTTAATGTACATAACATATTAATGAAGGCTACATCATGTATGACCTTCCATGTCCCTCTTTTTTCCTTGATTAGTATATTTCTTGAGTGTAGTACAACGATGTTTAGTTTTGCATTGACATGAGAACTGATATACTGTCACTCTGGCAGCGTGTTCAACAGCAGTGGTTCAGAGAGACTGAAAAGGTGTTGATCCCAGGCTGAAGTTTGTGCCTAACATTTCCTGGGAGTAAGACTTGTATTTTGCAGGCCACCGTAATTCAATTTTCTTTGCCGCTTGATTTTGCCACATAGGGTTTTGGTAACAACTTTGTAGTTTATTTCACCAGTATAGATGTGGTCAGTGGGTTTGGAATAGGTGTAGTTGTTAAATGTACAGACTGTAATTTAATTCGCCTATTTTTGTTGTGTAACAGACAGCAAGTATAAGCTTGCTATCAAGGCTGTCTTTTTGATTAGTGGAGAAAGACAGGTATACACAGAAGGCAACTCTCACTATGAGGGTGGCTGGACACTGCAACAAGGCTGAAATGGTGGCATGTTTGTCCACAGAGACATTCAAAACTCATCAGTACCAAGCCCTGCGCAGCCTGAGCCTGTTGAGCCGGCTCTGACCGGGAGGATGAACTAGGTGATATTGAGAGGTCCTGTCCAGCCTCAATTACTCTGTGATTCTGAAAAGAGACTTTGCTAGTTCCTTTTCTCTTCTGGTGTTTAAAACAAAAATAAGTATAAAGAAAATGAATTGTTGTTATTTCCAAATTAGTTCCTAACTTCAGTATTTTGCAGTAAGTTCCAACTTTCCTTTTTTTCTGAAGACCTTCATTTGGTGGTATTAGACCACCAGAAAAAGTGTGTGTGTTTTTTTTCCTTCTTAAATTGTCCCGTCCCCCCAAAAAAGGGTGTCATATAAAGAGAGTGCTATATTCCTTCATTTCATTGCTGCACTTGCCAGATGCCCTGTCTGTCCTATTGTTGTTTTATGTCATTGCTCCTACTGTTTGCCTTTAATGGTGATAGTAGATTTTCTCTTATTCCTGTTTCTCTTTTGCTCTTTTTTTTTTATGGGACAGAGTGAGCTGTTGTCCCTTTCTCTGCATCTGACTCTCTGTTTTTTTCCTTCCTTTTCCCATTGTCAGTATTTGTCCTGTCCTGCCACCTTCCTGCTCGTCTTCCCTTTTCTGGCTGGAGACAAACCAACATGTCCATGTGTACTAGAGGGATGGACATAAATGGAGTATAATCTTGGTGAAGGGGATATTGCTGCCTGCAGTCAGTTCTGTAGACAAAAAAGCAACAATCTGCTCCAGTTCATGGCTCTACTGATACATGTTGGAGGTCTGAATTTGCAGTATTTCTGTCTTCCTTTCTAACTTCTTCCAAAGTCAATAGCTTTCAGCTTGTTGAGCAATATACCACAGATTTTTCCAGTTGAGCCAGGTGCAAAGAACTTTCTAAGTATGTTGGTTTTGTGATAGAAGTCTGTGTTTAAGAAAAGAGATTAAAAATTATCATGTTGGGATTTCTTTCTGAACTGATACGCTCTAGCTTTGTGTAGGAAATTGGCGGCATGGCCTTGCAACTACTGTTATTACTAATACATGCTTAACTTTGCTTGTGACTGGAAACCAAACTGATTAAAGTAATTCCATTCTTAGCATCCTAAGTAGTAGAAATTGCATGGTAGTGGAAAACATAGGTATAGGACTAAAACATTAATGATATATTTTGGTTAGTAGTGTAAGTTATGATTTTGTTCTAAATTTCCTTTTTACTGAACAAATTTAATATCAAGTGTGAAATAGAGTGGGTTTAAAAAGTTGTTATACTAGGAAATCTTTGATGCAACAGAAACATATGATAGGTGTCATTTGTTTACATATAATTTTGCATGCTCTGTATTATATGGAACTTTTGAGTGCTGTAAAATGGTGATTATCTAAAGATGATGTGAAAGCTTTTCAGCTAGTCATGTCTTAATCAAAATTTTGCACTTAACATGTTTTTAGTAACTATAGACAGTTGAAGCAGGTAGTAATGTTTGCTTTCAGGCAGACAGTTCATATCTGATGCAAATAGTGCAATAATATATGCCTATTACATCATTTTGTAGCTGGGAATACAGAAATTATATTTTAGGGTGAACAAAATGGAGTGATAGTGATGGACAAGATGTCAGAAATGTGTTGTATTTCGTATCTACCTAAATGCATTTACATAGTGGTACTTCTTAGATACCTATAGGCATTTTGAATAAGTGAATGTAGTGCCATTGGGCGTGTGACATAGCAGCCATGATGTAGTACCATTTGAAAGCTGGACAAAGAAGCAGCAGATTGCAGTATGAGGTGAGAGCTTCTAAACCACTTTCTGCTATAAGAAATGTGCATACAGTTCAGTTTAAATTCAGTTTGATGCAGCTTTGCAGCTGCTATGGTTACAGCATTATAATACTGAAATCTTCACCCCAGTGTCACTTCTGTTTTGCTAACAAAAGCAATTCTAAAATCAAGCTGCTTATTACAATCAAAGCTTGTTCTCAAGGCTAAAACACCAACTACAGTTTTTGAACTTTTCAGAGTAGTTCAGAAATAATAAGTAAAAAAGACAGCAGCATTTGTGTACTTAAAATAGTATTAATGTTGTTATTTTTTCTTTATATTCCTTTATGTCCTTCACCAGATGTCACTAGTAGATTTGGGAAAGAAACTTTTAGAAGCTGCACGAGCAGGTCAGGATGATGAAGTTCGCATTTTGATGGCAAATGGAGCACCTTTTACCACAGATTGGGTAATGAAAACTTTTGCAGTGTTCAGTAAATCCGCTTACTTTTCTCACCTGAAGAAGACAATAGGATTATTACAATTAAGCATTCTATTGCAAGCTTTGCAAGTTTCTTCTTGGAATTCTGCAGTCACATCATCTAATGTCTAATGCAAAATTACAATTGTCTGTTTCTTCCTATGACTTCCTACTGATTTTAGTAACAGACTGTGAACGAGCTTGTTCTGGTGGTGTTCATTTAAGATGAACTTTGGAACAGTTAATGGGAGAAAAGCAGCAATCATCCTCCTAGTTACTGTGTTTATGCATTTAGGTCTGAATTAAGAAAGCAGCCCCCACTACCTAATATGTGTAGTTGAGGGCTCCCTGATACAGGGGCCCAGACTTTTCTTTTTGACTAGGTTGTATGGGGAGGTCAGGTACTTCAGAATTCTAGGGTATTTACAAGCCCTTAAGTACCTTAATCTACTTAGTAACCTAAGTTTCAAGTTGATTCTGTTTTGAGCAGGAGATTGCACTGAAACAACTTCCAGAGGTCCCTTCCAGTGTCGATATGGCGTGTTGACCAACACTAAAAATGGGGCTAGGCCCCTTGAAGCATCACACCTTAAAAAGACAGAAAAAACATAGCACAGACCTCAAAGTTGCTTCCAGTGAGCTGTTTGTGGTGTGTTGTGATTACTGGGGGGAAAAAAACCCGCAACTTTTTTCTTTTTCATACTCTGTAAAAGCCCCAACAGCTTCTTTCCTTGAGACTGCAAGGGAAAATGATTTTGAAATGGTGGCCTGACACCTGAATTTGATAGCGCCAGAATAAAACAAAATACTCTATACTGACATCTGTTAAAACTCCACTTTTTCCGTTACATTGCAGTTGGGAACATCTCCACTTCATCTAGCAGCACAGTACGGACACTACTCAACAACAGAAGTGTTGCTGCGAGCAGGTGTAAGTCGGGATGCCAGAACCAAAGTGGACAGAACTCCATTGCATATGGCAGCATCAGAAGGCCATGCCAGCATAGTAGAAGTCTTACTTAAGGTAAAGACTGTTGAAACAAGCTCTGAGGTGGGGATATTACAATGGTTTATGATGAAATATTTCCTTTTAGTGATGAAACCAACATTGAAGTTGTATGAATATTTATGCTGTGTGCATTGGGTGCTTTGTCTTTCTGTTAAACTGTAATCTATTTTAGCATTAAAATGACCATGATTTCAGGTGAATTATTTATTGCTGTCTCAAAATAAGACTACTTCCTAATTTGACATTGTGTAACAACCTTTAGAACGAAGACATGTTATGTTTTAGGGAGTCTTTAATCTTTCGAGGTAAGTAATTTATTTAGTAGCTAAATTGATGTACTTTCAATAAATCCATGAATATAAGGTAACAGGACATTACTGCTGGAGAAAGACAGTTTTGAGCTTCATTGTGTCATCAGCATTATTTAATTCAGATACTTGTAATGACATAGTTTATGCAATGATCTTGTTTATAGCACGGTGCTGATGTCAATGCGAAGGACATGCTCAAAATGACTGCACTCCACTGGGCTACTGAACATAACCATCAAGAAGTTGTAGAACTCTTGATAAAGTACGGAGCAGATGTTCACGCTCAGAGTAAATTTTGCAAAACGGCATTAGATATTGCAGTAGACAATGGAAATGAAGACCTTGCAGAAATATTACAGGTAACTTTTGATTCATGATGTTAAGGGAACTTAGAGCAAAGTACTTGTTTACACATGGGGTAAACTAAGTTTTTAATAGAGCAGCTGTGAGACTATGTATTGACTGATAATGCTAATCTCCAGTCTAGTTCATGACAAGGAAATGAGATTAATGTTAGTAAACATTAGTTGGCCAAAGAGTGTTTTCACCACCTACAAATTCAAGGATAAGTTACATTTGAGTGTTGTAGTACACAGAACTAGGTGGAGTCTGTAAAACTTAACTCCCTACTCTGCCAGTGTGTTTTGACTATACCCTAGTGTTCAATTAGCTTCATATATGGATATTAATTTCCTAACAATTGGAGATCAGGAGAGGAGAGAAGAAATGACAATTTTTCCAGAATTAGAAAAACTAGGATCAAATTGTTGAAGTGATTGGGATTATAATAGATACTTCCATGGAAATGTGTGCTCACTCTTCAGTAGTGTTCTTAAAGGCAAATTTAAGTGCTAAGCATTATTGAGAAAAGAATAGAAAGCAAATGAAAGATACCATTATGACACTATAAACATCCCTACATCTTGAACTGCATGAACTTCTGGTCTATTCCTTTAGCCTCCTCTTTATTGCAGAAAGGACATAGTAAATAAGTCAATAATAATTCAAAGAAAGACAAAAAGAAGAATGCCATCTACAATTCATGACAATTACTGAGTTGGAGCTGCCACAGCAGTCTTGGTTCTTCAGGCCTCTAGTATTGAGCTTGCACATGTACAGAAGGGCCTTGTCTTTATGTGATCCTCTTTGTTTACAATAAATGGTAAGGAGAGGTAGTGGTGTGTCATTATTCTTTTTCACTTCAACAGACTTTTTGTCTTTAGGTTTCAGCAAAAAAAAAAAGTTTCTCATGTACTTACGCAGAGCACAAGATGTGACACGTTGTGTGTATATTGCATGAGTAGAACAAGGGAGATGCTCCCTGTTAGAGTGGAATGTGCAATTATTATAGTTCTTAGAAGGTAAATAACTTCTTTGTACCTACAGTTGGAATGATATTATTAACTTTGTCTCCTAGATTGCAATGCAGAACCAAATCAATACGAATCCAGAGAGTCCGGACACTGTGACGATACATGCAGCAACACCACAGTTCATCATTGGACCTGGAGGGGTGGTGAACCTAACAGGTCTGGTATCTTCTGCAAATACATCAAATGGAACAGGTATTTAGATGCCTATAGGATAGCTACTGGGATTTTATACTTTAATTGATTTTCACCATTTAGTGAAAAGGCTTGAGGAAAAACAGTGGTAAGAATAGAGTAGTTACCATGTTCTTCTTCAGTGTTTTTTACCCGTTGTAAATATTTCTGTACTTAAAACAAGTCATCACAGAAATAAGTTATCAGAAGTTGCATTTGCTTAACAAACTTGCCTTCAGAGTAGCACTTTGGTTAGCAGAATGTTGCTGAGAACAAAGTGTGTGTTCAAAACTTCAGTGCGATAATAATAAAAAAAGGGACTTCACTGATTTTAAATTATCCACTAACTTTTTCTTTTTCATTCTACTAGATGAAACAGGAGTGTCTGCTGTACAGTTTGGAAATTCATCAACGTCAGTATTAGCCACATTGGCAGCTTTAGCAGAAGCATCAGCTCCACTGTCTAATTCTTCAGAAACACCAGGTTAGAAATCTAAGTCATATAACCTCATTTAATAAAATAAAAGTATATAACTGGCGCTTTTGGAGGTACAGTTCGTACAGAAATGAGATTACAATCTTCCTTTTTTCAGTGTAAACAAAAATTTTCTTTTACTTTCACCTAGAAGGTTGCCAGATTTGTATGTACAATTATTTCTTAATAAGATTTCTGACCACAACTGGTATTTCTGTGCCTAATGTGAGTAGCATTCATCTCTCTGAAAGCAAGCATAATTCAGGAGATTGAATTCACATCTTTGTCTACATACAGTCTAGCTGCATTTGGTGGGAGAATGTTTTCTCTGAATGCTTCTTTCTGTTAAATATTGGGAAATGGCCCCCAATGTTGTTTGCATATACTTTGTTAGCAGTCGTCTTAATCTTTCACCCAAAAGCGTAAGAATATTTGGTGATCTTAATGTCCAGTTTGCCCACTAGAATGCCTATGGGTTGTCTTTTCAACATTGAGACATTCTACTTGAATTTATAACAATATGCAGTGATTAGTATGTCCCACTTCAGGCTGTTATGCTGTCATGGCACTGCAGGTAAATGTAAGCCTAGCAATACATTATTGTTCTCCTAGGAAGAAGCAGCCTCCATCCTTGCTGCGGCTACATGCACGTTCCCTTATTCCATAAGGCCATGCCGAGAAGCCAGAAAGGCACAAGGAATTCTGTTGCCCCTAGTTCCCAAGTTTGCATTCCTCTTTCTTAACACAAAAACCCTTTAACCCTGCCCCATGGATCTTTGCCAGTTACTGCTTTGTCTGAAAAAAACTTTCGTCAAGGTTCTGTACTCTGTGAATTGCCCTGGATATCTTTCTCCATTCTTTCTGAATAATGTGGTGCTTTGTGTACTTTTCCACATTATGTTCATTACAACATAAAGTGAAGAAAGAAATAGCAGTCAGGAGTCCTATAATCAAAGTAGAATATAAAGACTCATCATTACCACTACGAGGTTTGAGAAAGAGAGATCTAAGCAAGGAAAAGACCTCCCAGCTACAATAAAGTTAAAATGTGATCAAAAGCTTCCGAATTATTGAAAGTTATTTTATAAGAGGATGGCACTGAAGTTCTGTTCCAGACCATATTTTCCAATTATGGTATATGTTAATATCCTGCCATTGCATAAAAAAATCAGGTAAAACTAGCACTTGGGAGATCAAGTGCTATGTTAATTCTTTATTGGGTAGCTTTGGGATGCAGAAAGCCCTAGTTTTTGTCTCTGAAGTAGGCTATATGATGTACTTAAAAAAAAAAAAAAAATTCTGTTATTCCGAGAGTCCCAAAATTGTTTTGGTGGAGATCTGGCTTTCTGAAGAAAGCTGTGAAGTATTTCATGCATACTTTACTTGCCCAGTGCTGTTTTTGCATATGTTGCTCCCTGGTTTTCTCAGGCATTATGATATGTCCGTAGCTACTGGAGTTTTATGGTAGGCCAGGTTTGCTTTTTTGTTTATTTAATATTTATAGTATTATACTGACATGTAGCAGTGTAGCCTTATTTCCAAGTTAGCTTGGGATTTTGAGCACTGGTCGGTGATATGTGGCAAGATGAGCCTAACCTCAAAGCCAGTGGCTGGAGATCACTGTGGAGAGCAACAACCCTCTGGTGATCAAGGGTTTCTGATCCTTATGGTAACCTGAATTTTTGTGAACATGTTTCTAAATAAATGCACTTATTTTGCTTTTTTTGTTAGTGTGGTCAGTATGATAAATTTTACAGAGCTGAGATACTTTGCATGACCGAGTCTTTGGTACTTAAAAATTCTCACAGAATTCAGCTTTGCAGATGACATCATTCTTAACGACACAGTTTTCACTGAAAATATAGGAGAGATCTGTACTCTTAAGACTTGCTGGCATGACAGCTGCATCCCAACATATACCTGAGTGTTCATCTTTAAGAATTTTGAAGTCCTGCAGGATTTCTTCTTAATACAGCTCTTTACTACTTCTCAAAGTGGTACCGAAGTACAGCTGTACTGTTTTATGACATTTAAATATTGCAAGTGAAGTGGATGATTCAAAAGCAGAATGCAGTGCCTTTCATTACAGAAGAAGCTGCTGGTGTTTTCAGTCAACTGATATAATTCAATGAAAGTCAGATGTAATTGTAGGAGAGAGAAACTCAAGGAGGGATTGCATGGGATTACAGAGCATTAAATGTATATTCAGGACTCTGTAGTAAATAGACTTTGATAACTAACCGAGTGTTCTCATGTTTCATGGCCCTACCCTTGCAGTGGTGTAGCATAACCTATGTTACATGTCGGTAAACCACTGAAGATAAAAATTATTAGGAGGCAGGAGATGACAGACAGGAAGGAATAAGCTTGAAATCTTGATGCTGTAGCTTCCCACCTTCAGTAATGCATCATAACTAACCCTCCTGTTTATTTCAGTTCTTCTGCTTTGATTTTTATGCAGATGCATGAGCAATCTTGCAGCATCGTACTATCTGCAAATTATTTCCTGGGTTCTTACTCCTGTAATAGTTTGTAAAGTGTAAAGAACACAAAAGTACCTTTTTGTCACCTGTGCATCAGTAGTAAATTTGTTCAAGAAAAAAAGAAAACAACAACAAAAAAATGCTTTGCTTTGTGCTTATCTTGTAAAAGATCCGTTTATAAATATTCTCAAAAACTTTAGGATTGAGAATTCTGGTTTTGGCTCTTACCTTGTATTTAGCCTCCTGTATTTAAGGCTGTATAAATTTGGGCAAAGAACCTAGGTTCTACCTTTTATGTTATTTCTGTCTAGGTTTTTCTTCTCTTTCCAAGTTAACTTCACCCCAATCTCTTCCCCCTAGTTCTTCATGTCTTACAGTTAAAAACACATCAATTTTGTAAAACCAAAGAAAGAAAGGTGCTTCTCACTGTAGCTGAATAGAATCATGCTTTTTTTAATTGTTACTCAAATGAAGTGTGTATGAGGACTTGGATGTTATGTACAAATGCGGTGTATAATGTATGTACAGAACTCAAGAGTTGGAGTAGACACACATCTTAAACCAGATTTTTATTTGGAATGCAGTATTTGGTGTGGTACAGTTGGAATTAGGCATAGGTCTTACTGCATGTGCAGGTGTTCTCCTGCCACACACACTGACGAAAATAATAGTGCACATTAATACAGAGATTCTTGAAAATAATAGTGCGGCTGTTTTAAATGACTTCAGCTTTCCTTCAGCATATGAAATAGTGTGGTAACTAGTGATTATACGGATGTAGACACGGAAGGAGAGCAAGGGAGGAATAAGGACTGTATTTATGGGTATACTTTTCTTTTATATAGAATAACTTCTTTTTAGACAAAATCTCCATTTTTTTCTTTCAAGGTCTGAAGAAGTCCTAATAATGTTTCCTTCCAGAACTAAAAGCCCAACGCTGAGTTTGAAACTGAAAGATCAGAGCTGTTTGCCACAGCAGCTAGCATTGGCACTTGCAACTTGGAATTTTTGGTGACAGTGGTCTTGCTTACTGCTGAGCCTGTACTTGGAAGCCAAATCAAATTCAATACAACACCACTTATTCATGTAGGACTTACTGTTTTGGTTTACTGAATAAACACTCTATGAATATTTAAGCAGTGCTGTAGGACAGTAATCTCTGAACGTAAAGATCTTCGGAAGGCAATGACTGCAGTCATTATTTGAACTACAGAGTGATTTTTGGGTGTGTTATATTGTAATTAATTTAAAAGATGAAAGCTTCAGGGATTTATCTACCTTCTCTCATCTTGAGTATCACAACACAGTCTACAGGGTTTTAATTTCATCTCTGTAGATAGAAGGCACTATAATGTCTGTTATTTAAATCAAAGGCTTTGCTTTTACCCTGACAAATTGAACATAAAATACAGAGTTAGTGTGCTTGAAATTCTTTGATTGTGCTACTAGTGATCTTGCTCTTTGTCTCAGTATCTTGTTGTTTAAAAAAAGCCACAAAATGGTGGTAGCGCAAGACCCCAGTTACAGTGGATACTGCAAACTGTGGTATGTGTTTTACCTATAAAATTATACATACAGTGTTTATTTTACTTCTTTAGCTTTATCTTTCTCCTTCAAAGATGTAAAAATGTTGACTCTGCAGAACTTTTCCTTTAGTCCTGTTTCATGCTTTGTATACTAAATAAAGTTGTGGTTGTGTTTGAAGTACCCATATAGTACAGAGAAAACTTAAGATTCTCTAGAGGTCCTTCAGTCTGTTACTGCCTTGAAGACCATTATGGTAAGCAGAGGAATCAGGGCTGTGTCCTGAGGTACACCTCACAAGGCACTGGTTGAGGAGTAGTTTCAAGGTAGTATTTGAAGTTTAATTTTCTTTTTTTTAAATTCTGCTGTTAGTCTAAATTTGTCCAGCGTGTGTATAATGGAAAGTTTTTTGTGTTCATAAAAACAACTCTTGTTCTTGCTGCCATGTTAACAGTGAACCCAAAGTATCATTTTTTAGTGGGGTGTATCTGTTGGGAAACACACTAAATAAAATATTGAGCAAGGTAAACCAGGACAGAGTTGCATGTGTGTTACAAAATGTTAGTGCTTTATGTTGGCCTGGTGAAAGATTTCTATTAACAATATAATATGTAGTAATGTATTAATTGGGGGGGTGAGCAGGGATCAAATTTTAAAAGACATGGAAGAAATCTTTTTCTCAGCTGCACCAAAATGCGTTTGAAATCATAAAGCTTAATTTATTAAATTGACTTTATTCCTTTACTACTCTGTTGATAGTTGTGGCCACAGAAGAGGTTGTGACTGCAGAATCTGTGGATGGTGCTATTCAGCAAGTTGTCAGTTCTGGAGGTCAGCAAGTTATTACTATAGTTACAGATGGCATTCAGCTTGGTAATCTGCATTCAATTCCAACCAGTGGAATAGGGCAACCAATCATTGTGACCATGCCTGATGGACAGCAAGGTGAGTGGAAACTTGTACAATTCAAGCTTGAGGAACTATTTTAGTTACGGTAATAATAATAAACTGTTAGGTGCAAATAGCTTGGACACTTTTGTGTAATTAGAAATTTAAATACGTCTTTGAATCCTTATACTGCAAAAGGCTCAGATGCATGAGCTACTGCGGTTCAGTGAGTTGCCACGTGTCAGCTGAGTCTCTGCATTAGAAGAAAGAATGGAAGAATTACTAAACTGTATGCCAGAGAAATGGGACATTTAAGGGAAATTTGATAACTACTTGCTTTGCTTTCAGTAAGCTTGATTCTTGCAAACTTGTTATGAAAACCAGAAGATGGAATAAAACAAAAGCTTTCTTCCAATACTTATGGAAGGCTGTTGCCTTGCTGGAAGTACTGCAGGAAGGTGAAGCTTGGATTTAGAAATCTCACGTGTGAAACAAGCTGTGCAAGTCCCATGGAGTGTGTCTTTAACAGAACAAAAGCCAAGTCTTCCATGCTTGAGGTTTTAGAGGAGCAATGGCAGAACCAGTGAAGCCAGGGTGACACAAATTGTCCTGTTGGGACATACGTGCTTTGTTTGTGGAAGCTGCTAGTGTAATAAGTGCTGTTTTGTGACATGCCTGTGTTTTTGCTGGTTTCTTTTAAAGATGCTCTGCCACTACTGTGTAGACAAAAATTATTCCTTCTCTGGTTTCTTCTTGAGGACTCCCAGTGTGGAGCTTGAAGAGTTGTTCACAGGAGACAAATGATTTGGTTCACAGTCTCTTTGAACACATACAGCTAGTTATCAGAAAACCTGAATGTGTGTAGGTAGTAATGAAGGTGACAGTCACAACATTTATTTGCCAGATGGTTGCATGAGTAAATTAGAGTATTAATGTCTTTAGATCCCTAATTTTTTTCCCTCCAAGGTTAGTAAGTACTGGATTTTCAGTTTACCTAAGGTGTTCTAGTTAATCAAAATTAAAAACCAGTTTTGTGTTTAGTATTTGCTTAAGAAACATTATAAAAGAGATGGCCTGCTACATAAGTTACAGAATTGACAGACTGGTAACTGCTGCAATTCACTTACATGTCTGTTTACTCTGAAAAATGGCAATGATACTCCAGAGTGACAGCTAACTATTGTAAACCTCAACAGCAAAGAACTTTAAAATTCTTTAGTAGCATACAAGCAGCTAAAGATTTTAGTAACTCTTCCCTGTACTGACTTAATAATGCACTTTATTACATAGTTGTGTTTTCATAAGGGAAAGTCTTTGCTGTTAATAAAATAACTTAATTATATGAATTTTATATACTGCGAATATTGTTTGAAGTAAATGTACAAATATGTTTTCAGTATTAACAGTTCCAGCAACAGACATTGCTGAAGAAACTGTGATAAGTGAAGAACCGCCAGTGAAGAGACAGTGCATTGAGATTGTTGAAAATCGTGTGGAGTCTGCAGAAATAGAAGTAAGGAGTATATTACATGATACGTGTTAGCCAGGGTGTTCAGCACTGAGTACCTGATAGTGATTTTTTTGTATTGTTCTAGAGTTTAATTTCTGTGTTACCACAGAATGAAGTGTGTGAAACAACTTGTTCAGTCTCCCGTTACTGGAATTCATCTTTTACAAAGTTGTTGTAAAAAGAATGTAGGAGGGCTGTTTGCTTCATCCTCTGGTCATGCACGTAAAAGTGATACTTGTTTAAGTATTTGATAACTTAATTTTGTTGTTTTTCCTTTAAGATCATAAGCTAGTTTTTAAAACTAGGTACCGATATATTATTGGGTAACTTGACTCTTTCCTCTAGCAGTGAATGAGAGTACCATACCCTCATCTTTCTGTTATGACCACATGCTAGTCCTGACTATGAGATCATATTTTTAGCAATGTTTCCTTTCCATTCATGATATCTAGATAACTGTTAATGGAAATGTGAAACAGTAAGATTCTGTGTTTGTGAATTTTTATCTGTGTCCTGCTCCCTCCCTCCCCGCTTTTCTTTTTTAATTCTGGAGCAGTTTACTGTTACACCTCTTTTGCACCGTCCTGTTTTTTTAAATTTATAGTGCAGAACATGTAACAACATTGAGAGCGCTTTCCTTTTTATATACGACAAATAGATGTAGCTGTTAAATTTAAAATTAGAGCTTTTTTTATATTAACCACAGTAGGTCAACCATCTCATTCCTTCTGTTACTCTAACTGTGCTGACCAGTTTTGGTCAAAGGTTTATGAAAACCACTGTCTGCCTTGACTAGGCTGTAAGTTGTCGTTTGTCAACTCCATATTTCATTTATCGAAGGTTGTATTCTCCAACTTCTGTTCATATTATCGAATTGTGCCTCATTGAATACTTTTTGTTGTACAGTGTGTGCTATATGTTATCCATGTCTAATAACAATAATTACCACTTTTCATCACTTGCTTTCCCTCTCTTTAAGTTGTCACATCATACTTTTGGCCTTTGCAGCTTTGTGGTCATTACAGATTATCATGACAGTTGCAATTTTCTTGCTGCATTTTTTAAAATGTATGACTGTTACAATAAAAGCATTTCTTTTGTTCACACTTTTAAACATCTGCCTGAATTATTCCTAAAGGAAATTATGTTTCCTTAAGTATTTTAATAATTGTTAGGTGAAGGGGAAAAAAAAAATACAGATTGGTTAAGCAATAAATTGACCTTTTCCTAATTACAGGTAGTTGGTATAACAGTACAACTGTTCTTTTTGGTATAACAGTGTGTGTGTGTATATATTAAAAACTATCTATTTATATATATAACTGGTGTATAACAGTACAAACAATTCTTTTAAGGGGATTACCAGTTTCAATTATATATTTGAAACACATTTCTCAAATATCGAAATAAGTTGGTTTAAATGAATTACTTTATCTATTACTTTTAAGTGCAAGTTTTGTCCCTACCTGTACAACTGGAAATGCAGATGCAGACCTCTGCCTCTGTGTGGAAGCCAGTTGACTTCAGGAGCCTTATTGTGGTTCACAGGGGTATGGTGCTACCTCACTTTGGTAACAAGGACATTCAAGAAGTGCACATAAAGTCAGTTCACTTCAAACTTCATCATCATAAAAGGTGGTAGATACTTGGATTGGGAGGGAGGGGGACCCCTCCCCTCATTAATTTGTTTTTTTAATGTAGAAAACCTTTATTGTTTGGTTTCTGTGCCTCATTGGCGATTTGTTCCTTTGTTTCATTATATAGAGTTGATTCAAGGCTAAGAGTGCTTTTCTTCGGCTGTTTTAAATTCATAGTGTATGAATAGTTAACTGTAGTTTGAAAGTCTTTAAGTTGAAGATCCTCCCATTCATGTGAGGTGACAAACTTTACTGTGCAAGTATTGTGAATGGCAAAAGCTGTAGTGGTGTGTTTTGATTTTTCTCTTTTGGGTCTGTTAAGTTCAAACATTTCAGTTCATTTTGAAGAGTGATACCAGTTTTCCCAAACAGTTTGATATGTTAAACATAGTATGGCAGCAAAAAAACCCCTGTCACACAGATACTCTGTTTTCATTTTCATGCATAATTAATTAACATACGGTGATTTTTATTTTCATTCTTGAACAACATGTTGCATGTTGGAAAAGTGACACTCATTAGAAACAGGACAATAATTTCATTAGACTAAAAAAAAAAATCATAATTGTAAATTAATTATTTTAGTGAATTCGTATCATTGCTTTTTCTGTTGTTAAAAAAATGCTTGTTTGGTTATTTTAGTTATGGGTGTCCCTATTGTCAATATAGAGACTGTTAAGAAAAGTTACATGTAATGAAGAAAATTGCCTGCTAAAATAGAAGATTTAAGAGCAATCAGGATCCTCTAATTTGATTTTTACCCAGACAGGTTTTTGTACTGATACAAAAGGACTTCAGATTATTAGAACGCTTTCAGTTGTGTTCTAAAAAATGTGCAAGAACACTTTCTGGATTTGATTAAATTAATAGACCAAATATAGTCCTCCCTATTCTAGATGTCAAAGTTAAGGAACCAGTTTTCACTGTTCAGTCCATTGTAGATGTGCATTGTTCCTCCAGAAGCATTGGTTTCTTTCCACTGCCTGGTTAAACAGTATACTTGGCCTCAGTTCCTTAATGCTTACATTAGGACTATGGCTGTCTAAAAACTACACTTTGGATTTCTAGTCTGTCTGGTAGATACTGGGTTTATCTTCTTGTCTCTGCCACTGAGAATTTTTTTTTCCTTTTTTTTCTATCCCTTCCTTAATGTGCTATAGTCCTTATGGGTACGTGGCTCTATTTCTCTCTTCTGTGGGAAGTACTTGTGGTCTGAGAACCTCTCCATCCCCGAGTGTTTGCAGTCTGCACACACTCCATAGTAGTGATAGTGCCTTTTTGTAATGCATCGCAAAACCACTGGCCGGTGAGCTACTGGTCATTCTTATTCTTCTGCAGCCCAGTAGGTAGAGCAGCTTTGCTTCTTGCCACAGATTTCTGACAGTTTTTATGTGACAAATTCATGAGAGAGAGAATGCCCAGCTCAGAATATAGAGCTGAGTGACTTCAAGAAGGAAGGGTTGCTTTCTACATGTAGCAGGATCAACTGTGGTGACTGCTTGTCAAGGAGAATTGCCTTGTAGCTTTTTTCCCCAACTTTTTACTCCATGAGGCTGTTTTACATAAGCTGTTGGCTCCTGTTAAACTACATAAATAGCTTACAGAAATAGCAGTATGTTTTGGTTGGACTCGTGCTGGAACAACCTTGATGTGTTTCAGATCCTTTGAGATGTAGGCTGTACTGTTCATTTGGCATTCGTCAGTCTAGTTGCTACATGGGATGTTCATAAAGTTGCTTAAAAAGCAGAATTCAAATTTTCAAAGGTGGAAGCTGAACTTCTTTTTCAAATGAGTAAGCAAGATAGATGAGTTCTCATTTTATCAGCATATGCTCCAAATGAAGCAAATGCTAGCTAGCTTCTTTCAGCTCTTAAAGCCCTATGTAAAATCAGGTTGTATTTAATGGAGTTTATTCTGTTCTGTATTGTAGATAGTCTTTATAACCTGTTAATAACATCTCTCCTTCACTTGTTGTTTTTGCTATACAGATGCTGCTGTTAGCAATGATCTGATCACCTATGTCATTATATTCCAGCACATTCAGCACAGCATGTGACTGCTAAATGTGACTGTGACAAGTACTGAGAACAGTAGCAAGTAGAAGGGAGGCAGAGTATTTTCTATTTTCAGGCTCTGACCATGAAAATATGTGAGTGCATCAAAGAGGTGAAGAGTAGGGATGCTGTTATGGGGTGTGGGGGGAGAAACTTCTAACAACTGTTTGAGGTATTAAATGGGAATGTGATACTGAACTTCTGGGATGGGAATAAGGTAAAAAGGCAACTTATTTTCACTGGGCCTCATTTTTTGAGAAGAGTTTTGTTTTCTGGGAGATAGCTCGCTTCTCCGACAACCTCCGTCCTGTGAGTACTTAACAACTACAGTGGAAAGAATGATTTGAAATCAAATACTACCTTACTCATAAAAGTATGATGCACTTTAATGAAATGCTATTTGGTTGAAGATGAAAACAGAGCTATTTTCCAAGCAAATTGCTTTTTTAATTGGGCTCAGTGCAGCATCAAACAAAATGACAGTACCTACGTCACTGGAGATAGAAATAAATTCTCCTTGGTTCCTGAGGAAGCTTCATAGGAAGTGGCATTTCCTGTATTATTTTGCTTGGAAACCATTTTCTAGTCATCCACGACCAACTTGTATGCAGGACGGAGCCTTAAGTTTTGTATACATTTTTTTTTTTCAGTATCAATTGTTTCAGATCACTTCATTTAGAAACCAGTTGTGTGTATATTTCGGTTAGTGGGCAGCTGTCACTTTTCAGTGCAAACTGCTGTTAGGTAGCAGTTTTTCATTTTAACTGTCTGATTACAAACACAACAGAGAGGGACAATCGTGTTAGATTGGATTCAAATTCAGAAAAGTAACAAAGGCAACTGAATAATTGGATAAATGTTAATAATGCTATGTTAGTATTTGATCACCATGCTTCCGCTTTTTTATTTCACTCTTTTTCCATGAAGACTTGCTTGGTATCTTTGCAGATAAAGAAGCTTGGGTTTGCTATATTTACACTTCAAGCCTTTTTGTGGGGAGTCCATCTGCTGTGACAGTTCATGTCTAATTTCCACAGCAGCATGCCTGTAGGTTTGCCTGAGTAAGAACTGAACGGTTTCTACATGATACCCTAACACTTAAGCTGCATGTAAAGGAAAAGTACTTGCCATTTTAACTTGTATTTGATACATATTTGACAAAATATTGCTGGTTCTGTTTCTAATAGGAAAGAGAAACTCTTCAGAAACAGCTGGACGAGGCAAACAGAGAAGCACAAAAATATCGTCAGCAGCTTCTAAAGAAAGAACAAGAAGCAGAGGCCTATCGGCAGAAGTTAGAGGCAATGAACCGCCTCCAGACTAATAAAGAAGCTGTTTAATAAAAAATGAACATACTACAAAGCCTGTTACTTTCAAAAACCTGCAGTACAATCTTGAACTGTACACTATATAGGTACAGACACAGGATTAAATGATAGAGAAGATGCTACAAGTTGATAACTGGACTTAAGCCGTGAGCTCTGAATTTCTTGTAACATAAAACCTCTGAATTTAGAAATTGTGAAAAGTATTTAAAATTAAATACTGTAAATAGTTGGTTTTTTTACAGTTTCAAAATTAGTTGATAAATCTTTTTGAAGGGATCCAGAAACACGAGAAGCCAATGTTTTTGTGAAATTTTTGATTTTAGTATGAATCTAACTTCTGAAAATCAGAACAGTTTTAAGGGTGATGTTGTTGATTTAAGCTGACAACTTGAAAATGAATTATGTGACAAAATGAATGAACAGTTATTTCTACATGGTAACAACTTAAACTTCTTTGAATAAGACATTTCCAGGTGGAAATCTTTGTACAGCTTTAAGTAGTTGTCTCAGATTCTCTGAAAACCGTTTTTGGTTGTGTTTTTTTTATTTTAGGTCGTGAAATTTTTATATTTAATTTCAGATATATCCAAGTAGAATTACATGTATATGAAGCTAATATTTTTTAAACTTTTCAGTTTGTACATATGCTGCATGTTTTTATAATTTCTACACATCTTGCCTAGGTTTTTTTCAGCAAAGATGAGAAAAATTATGAGAAAAATGTTTAGTCTATAGGTCATTTGAACTAAGCTAGGAGCCAGTTTTATTGTGGATGGTATATTTCTTGGAAGAATGTGATTTGTAATTAAAAAGAACAAAAAAAAAATCTCAATTTACGTATTAGAGGCAATTTAAAATTTGGTAGTGGAGGCATTGAAAATTCACCTTGTGTGTCTTATAATTTTCCTGTAGAAACATGTTGAAGTTCAGTAACGAATAGAAAAGAATGTCTCCACTGGAACACAAATAGTAGTTCTTTTAGAATATTCCTATTGATCTGTTTTCCCCCTTGAAATTTTCAGTGATACATTTTTTCTAAACAGACTTTTGCATTTTGATTATGCAATTGGACAAGTGATTTTTTTTTTTATGTTGTACTGATGCTCTTCTTACCTAGCATCATTGTTCTTCACTGTGATACTGTGTTTGTGTGTGTCTGTGCAGTGATCTATTATGCTTAGGATTGATATAGCACATGACATCTTCAGAGCATTGTAAAATCTTTTAAAGAACCCTTACTGTACTGCCTGAGGCAGGTAAGTGAGTGTTATCGTCTCAATTTTATAACTGGTATAAGTGCAACACAGGGAGTGTTAAATGACTGGCCCGTGACCACGTGAATCTGGTGGACCTGGGAATAGGTCTCAGGAGTTCCTGGCTTCTAGTCCTGTGCTTAGACTGATCTGCCTTAAGATTGTTCAGTGCTGTTACATGAAATTTTGAACTACTGTGCAGATTCCCTTTTTGTAAGATAAAACTTTGTGCTTTGCTTTGTTGTTCCATGTTTCACTGCTTTTATGGAATTGTTTATATAAACTTAAGCAAAAAGTCTAGTTTACCTATACTGTACACAGAAGAATTACCCTTAAAACTGTACTCTGGCCTACTTTTTCTATTTTACAATTAAATATCTTTTCCACATATGTATAGTGTAGAATCAATTCAATTTCAGTTGTTTTGTATGCACATTAGAAGGTCAAAGCTGTGCTGTGTAAGGCATTCAGAAAAATACGAAAAACAGTTTTAGGCTTAGAATGGCCCTCAAAGGAGGAGGGAGGACTGGGGAAAGAATTGCAGTATACAATATGAAGTAAAATCTTCCAACTTTGACTTGAGCTTATAGAATTGGCAATTAGGAAAAAATCCTAAATATCCTCGTATTAGTATAAATTTGGCAAATTTGATCCTGACTGGCAAATTTGACCCAAAAATAATCAAAAGATAATTAAAAAAATAGAAAATCTGTCGTGGTGGTTTTTAGAATAGTTATTTTCAAGGATATAATCGTCCTCAGCTGGTACTAGGCCTTGAAGCAAGCCTTGTGCAGTGACTAACTGGAAATGGCTATCTTTTAGGGTTTTTTTCAGAAACTATCCATTATGTCACTAGCAAATGAAAGAACCAGTTAGTCAAGTTACATGTGCTGGTTAGACATTGCTCCAACTGAATTATCTGTGATCAAAATAATGTTTGTGTCCTCACATCCCACAAACTTAACTGCAGTTAAATCTTTGTGAACTCTTAATAACGATAAGAATTTCAGCGTTAGTCTGAGTAGTGATAACGGTAATGTTCACGTCCAAATGGAGAATTTCCCACGGCTTTGACGGCACAGACCTTTGTAGCAAACAAAAGAACCTTTTCTATTAATTCTGCTTCCTGTGAGCAAATATTCTGTTCCTCATTGTCTGTAACAAAATCCTTCCAAGTGCAGGGTAGCTATAACAAAAATGTATTTATCCCCAGCAATATTTACCCTACCTGTAATTCATTATCACCTATTTTATTCCAGTTCCAAACAGGACCTGCTGTTTGTTCTCTTTTGTACAGAACGAGAAACCAACCTGATGAAACCATCACCTTTGAGCAAAGGCATAGGGTATATGTCACATGGAATATTTATTGTGTAGTTGAGCTCCGAAAACATTGTTAAAAGTGTTGCTCCTTATTTGCTGTTCCAAATTGAAATCATAAATGTAATTAGCTACCAGCTTTCTTTGAACAGACATCTGTATATTAAAGTAATGTATTAGTTACTTGTAATGAGCTAGAATCACAGTTTTTGAGAACTCTGAGCTCTTTTTGAGTTGGTCCTGTACTTGATGCCAGTCCCTTCTCACATTCTTTTTTCCCCTTTATGGTCGCATTTACAGTAAAGCCAAGAGACGTTCCTAAATTGATATTAAGTGTGTGGGCAGCTTGTTACTTTTTTTTCCTAAAAAAAGTTTTCAGAGAAATAGGAGATAAAGCAGATGAATATGCTAGAGTATGGTTTTTTTCTGCACTTCTTGTACTTCTTCTTTCCATGTCTTTTTATCAAGTTTTTTTTTAATTTCAGGATATTAATCTGATGTGCCTGTATCAGAGCATCTTTGTCATATCTATGAAACAGTTCTTTCTCAAATATCTAATCGCAGCAGAAACTAGGAAAGGTTTTCATACTGTTCTGTAGAAAGTACGCTGTGGAGAAGGACATAACTTTCTAGAATCATGAAAGCGTTTAGGCTGTGTTACAGTACATGAGGCAGAAAATCAAAGCTGCTCTGACAGCCAGTTCTCTTCTGTATGATGAGAACAGAGAAACTGCTGTCGGGTATCAGACGAAGGTTCTGCCCAGCCTGGTATCCTGTCTCCAACAGGGCCAGCCTTAAGCAGGAGCCTAGGGTATGGCAAAAATAGGGCAAACATATATTGTGGTATGTAATAATTTCTGGTGCTCAGTTCATAAGTCCTACCTCTCTCTTTTCCCTGGGCTGCCTGGTATCAGTGTAGAGCAAGTGAGTTCTTTCTGGTGGAGAAGCTAAGTGCTCACCATTAAGTGCCGTGCCAAAGGTCGTGCTGCCAGAGATAGGTCAGGATATGTTTTTCAGGTCCTAAAACTGGAACATGGGGGAATCTACATGGCTGTTCTTTGAAACTGAGAACAATCCAGGTGGAGGACTTTGAGGAATTCTGGAGATACAAGGCCAAATCCCAGTGCTTTTGCATACCATATGTGAGAAAAGCAAGCACAGTGGGGGGAAAAAGATGTGTTTTCCCAGCTCAGCAACCTAGGATGATACCAGTGGAGGAACATCACCCTGCAGTGTAACCTGGCCTGATCTGGAAGGGCAGGCAATCCACAAAGAGGATCATTGCTGCTTTGGATTGCAATTCTGGGACTGGCCGTAATTGTAATGCCTTTCCTTCTAGCAGGAAGGGACTGACAGCATAGGGACTGAAGACTTGTGCGGATGCAAGTATACTCTCTTCTTGGGGAAAACTCAGTCCTAAAAGTCCCTGCCCGCAATGTCAAATTCATTATATGCTGGTGCCTTGCTGCAATGACTACTGCTAGCGCAGTAGTTGGGTATGCTAGAGTCACATGACTGCTTTTATTTGGTTTTGGAAGCTCTTGAGATTTTTCTCTCCCACAAGTCTCATGTTAATGTGTCTTATATTTTTGACATGGATTACTGTAAGACTTCCAAAAGATTGTTTGAAAATGGGAAAGGACTAGCGCAGAGGCAGCTCCTCTTTAGAGACATACTATCTTACACATCAAAAGGGCACAGATGAGAACATACGAGAGACTGTAAAAGCCCTCAGCTGGGAGGAGTTAGAGAAGCACTCACCAATAACCTGCCTACATTAAACCTTTTCCAGAATGCATGAGTCTGAGAGATAAAGGGAGCTATAAAGGGTGAAGCAGCTAGCAGGGCACCACACCAGACTGCCCACAGCTCCCGAAAGGTCGTGGCCCAGGTTTGAAGAGGTGCTTTTAGAAGGAATATCTATGGATCCTGAGGAGTACAGAGAGAGAGGTGAGTGATCCTCTGCTCTTGGAAATAGGTAGCATTTGCTCACAGAGATCAACTGTTGCAGTGCTGGGAGCGGTACCCAAAATTAGGATGGGCTATATGCTCTTTATTTGCACACATGTCCTTGAGACTTCAATCTGAGGCTGTGACAAAAACGTGTCCCAGGGTTGAGTTTAAATTAATGGATTTGGAGTCAGTGAATGACTTATGCTTTTTGGTCTTACATTTAAAATACTGTGGGGAAGCTGCAAAACCGATTCTCAATAAGCTTGTGCTAAGGGGTTGTGCACAGTGGTTCTTCCCTGGCTGACCCCATGAAACTTCCAGTGATACTAGCACGGTTCTGGAGATGGGGAGCAAACTTTAATCCCACAGCTGGAGGAGATTGCCTAAAAAGTGGAGAAAAGGTATGGAGCTGTGAGGCTGTTTTCAGAGGATGCAGAAGCGGGTATGATACAACAACAGGGAAACGTAGGGCATGATAAAAATTTCATTTCTGTGAAATGCAGTTTCAGTTAATTTGTAGGCAAGAAAAATCCGTCTATCAGTAATCAAACAAACTGTACTTGTACCATGATTGTATTTTAAAGGCACATTTGAACTAGTCAATGATGACACTGAAATAACCCTGTGAATCTGTTCTGTCCCCACGAGAAGCTGTGTGTTAGATGGACCAAGAAGGGTGTAGGAGGAAGGTTAGTTCCTGTGGCTACCCTGGGAGCAGTTTTCCAAGCCGTGTCCAATGCTAATGACAGATTGTGTGAAGTACTAGTACTACTAGTTAGTTTTCCCACAATCAAAACTCAAAGCACTGGTTTGCCTCTTCCAGGGAAAGAGATGGTGGATTACATTTGCCAGTACCTGAGCAATGTGAGAGAGAGACGGGTGACTCCTGATGTACAGCCAGGATACATGAGAGCCCAGTTGCCGGATTCTGCCCCAATGGACCCAGACAGCTGGGACAACATCTTTGGAGATATAGAGAAGATTATTATGCCTGGGGTAAGAAATAAAGTATAATCATGACAGGAAAAAGCCATTACTACCTGAGGTGAACACCAAATCCTGAGAATGCCCAGGATACATTTATATAAATAAGTAAAGGACCCAATGTAGAATAAGTCTTGCAGACATTATGTCCACAGAATAATTCTGGAGATTACTGTTGTGTTCCTAACTACAATTTTAGGGGATAGACTGAAGTATTTTATACATTAAGAATAACTCATGTTTGCTCAGAGGGAAACAATGATTTTCTAGCACTGGTGAATTTAACTTCACTAACTGCATCATTTCAATTTCAGAGTTGTGGAAAGTCATATCACAGCAAGGTGAAACATCTCTTGCCCAGGGTCTTGTACATGTAAGACTTGTCTCCTGCTCTTTGAATGTAAAGGTCTCCTTCCTCTTGTACATAAATACTGCACATTCTGCTAAGGGAGTTTGTATTACCTAATTAAAAGCTTTATGTAAGAAACTTTCAAAGTCTATTTTAAAATTTTTGTTACAGATGTTTGCAGAAACTTGGTCTGTTATAGGAGAGCATTAAACATGCTTAAGCTGGTGTCCCACATACAAGCTCCTTCAGGTGTATAGAGGGGGGCTATATAATTGTAAATCGCTGTGTGTAGCTAAAGGCAAGCTGTTGTTTGACAAAATGAGCAAGAGCAACTTTGTTGCAAGGATTCCCCTTATTAATATTTTGATAAATGCTTCTGAGTCTGTTGTGCAATGTTCAAAAGACCATTCTTTCCTGTTCAGAATCTTTGTCTGCCTGTTTACTTCAGATAAATGCTTTTGCTATAATTTGGAATTTATCTAATAACGACACAGCGTTATCATTTGCTAGTGCTGCACTCCTGTTGATATTATCTCTGTAGCTTTCTGCTGGCAGATCTATTACTGCATTTATATTGCTATGATCCTTTTCTATCACTTTAAACAGATGCTAATCGTTACATCTCGTGCAGAATTTTGTGATGTTTTCAGACTTAATTTGTAGATAATTTTGTTCTAGGTAGTCCATTGGCAAAGTCCACACATGCATGCCTACTTTCCAGCTCTTACTTCCTGGCCTTCACTCCTTGGAGATATGTTGGCTGATGCAATTAACTGCTTGGGAT